CTTAAAGTTGTTCAGAACATGCATGTTTCTATTTACCCTAATGGAACATTTTCTTCAAAAATGACCGGACTTATGGTTGGGGAAGAAAATTTTTATGATATATTAAAAGACACAAAAATCGATATAAGCCTTTGAAATTTTCGTAATTTCTGGGGTTTATATATATGTATATTCAAGTAATAATACAATTGTTGTAATAATACTTTCGACCATAAGTCATCATTAGGTATATATATACATATTTAATAGGCCTATATACTGCAAAGATAGGTCAAAGGTCAATAAAAAGTTTCTGGTTGATATTGAGAAATTATTCTGTTAGAGTATAAATGTGCATATTGTAAATATTTTGTTACAAAAAGCAACTCTGTACGATCAGTGGTTGCCAAGATATTAAATTCACGCAAAGTTCAGGTCAAAGGTCAAAAGCACAATTTCCGGTCATTTCTAGAGAAAATTGTCCATTATAGTAAATATAAATATGCATGTTTTAAACATTTTGCTGCAAAAAGCAACTCTGTACGACCAGTGGTTTTCAAGATATAGCTCCCTATATTTCCACCCCTAATTTGCATATTTATGCTAATAAGGTCGGCAAAATGGCATGAAGAAAATGTTTCATTAGCGTAAATAGAAACATGCATGTTCTAAACAACTTTAAGAAAGAATCAACTTTTTAAGACAAGTGGTTACCAAGATATAAAGTACCCTACATTTTCATAACTAATTTGCATATTTAACTAATTTGCATATGAAGATGAGCGTAAAAAAATTGGCGACTCATTTTACTGGATTCAGCATACTTCAAAGTATATATTCCATCCAAAAAACTAAAATGATCACAAAAATCCCACGGGAGCCCATTTTTCGACATATGCCCCCCGGACTATAGCGACATTTTTTGTTTATTACTAGTTCGTTGTATGGTAAACTAGGCTTAGGCATAGTTTTAGCAAGGGTCTGAGTCGACGACGTACGAGAAAAATTGTCGCCCCACGGGCGGGCCAATGATAAATCACCATACTAGGCCGAGCTAGCTATAAAACGGAAACTCACGGAAAAAGACACGAAATGAAACGTCAAAACAAATTTTCATTTAGTAATAATACTATTTAATAATAACACATGGAAATCAGTAGCTCACCTACAGTGTAGTCCTAAAATTATCAAAATAGTGAAATCAAACATGGTCTACCCACAAAGAACTTACTTTGGTTTGTCATTGCACATAAAAAAAATATAAAAAAAAGCGGAGCTGAGTGTCCAATAATTTTCGTAATGTCGTAACATTCTGCATTCGTAAACTTTCGTATTTTCTTGGAAGTATTCGCATGAAATTATAATGAGCGTTGATTGGTAGTCGGCTCGTGATCAAAGGTGACGACTGGTACCGACTGGTTCCAAGATTCACAGTCACTTACCTCGGCAAACCATTCGATGGCACTTACCTGTAGCTACTTTCAGTAGCCACAAAAATCATTCTCAAGTCTCTAACTCCATTAGTACAAGCTCACATTGATCCTTATCAATTTGTATAGATTTTCTAGGAGCACATCCGATGCAATTATATATTATTATTACTTACGATTATACTCACCTTGATTGTTCTAGCAATGGCAGTCTGGCCCAAATTATGTTTTACGATTTCTCCTCCGCATTCAATACCATCCAACCGCATATTTTAGTTGACAAAATGATTAACATGGATATACCTTTTAATTTAATCTGCTTAGTTCTTAATTTTATTACTAATCCTACCCAGTAGGACTCAGTAATGATGTCAAATCAGAGGTTTTCCACAGGGAACAGTGTTTGCTTCATTTGCTTATACATTATATATATTGGACTACAAGTCTTCACATGAAAGTGTACCCGTTATTAATGATAATTTAATAATGATTTTTCTAACTATTATAATGAAATTGAAAGATTCATCAACTATTGTGATGCTAATTATTTACAGCTTAACACAATGAAAACTAAGGAAATGATTATCGATTTTTGTAAAAATAAGCCATTATTAGATCCAGTTATTATTAAAGGTACTGAAATTGAGCAGATCAAGTCATATAAATATTTAGGCATAAATTTAAATAACACTCTCACATGGAATGATCATACCGATCACATGATGAAAAAGCTTAACAGCAGGATGTACTGTCTTCGTAAACTTAGGTCATTTAATGTGTGCAGGAAAGTTTTAGGTATCTTTTATAATTCTGTAATTTTAAGTGTCTGGAGTTATTGTATTGTGGGTTGGGGAGGAAATATATCTAATTGTGACAAGGAAAGGTCTGATCCGAAAGGTTGAGAGAGTGACTGGTGTGTGTTGCCTGTCGGCGGGCTCAGTTTACCACTACTGGTTGGAGAAGGTGTTTCAGAGCATCATTGAAGACGTGACCCATCCCTTTCACTCTGAAATTATTGACTCAAAGATTGTTCAGAGTGGTAGACTAAGGCCGCCAGCAGCGCGCACATGCCGCTACTCTTCCTCATTCGTTCCCCAAGGTGTTGGAGCCTTTAACAAAACTTTTAAAAGATGAATTATGGTAGTAATGATAATGAAAATGGAAAATGATAGTAACAATAATAATAATAATAATAAAAATAATAATAATTAAATAATATTGATAATAATAATTATGCTTCGGTGACTTATAATGTTTTAATGGTCGTTGTTTGATGTCTTTTTTACATTGTAATTTTTAGAATTCATTATATTTGATCAATCTTTTAATTGTTTTACTGTATTTTAATGCGAGAACTGAATTTCCAACTTGGAGCAATAAAGTGTATCTTATCTTATCTTACCTTAAATAGCACAGCCAAATCCTCAATGACAAAACCCCTATGAATGATATTTGTCAAAAAGATTCAAATATGTGTAATATCCGATTTTAAACAATATCCTTGTTTATTGCAGGTTTCTTTTAGACTCTCTGTAGGAGATCTGAAGCCATCAAAAGTTACGTTGAATATATACGAACCAGTTGGTAGCAAAACCCAGGTGCAATGCACAAATCAGAAGAGAGGGATATGGACGGCAAAAGCAGATGTTCAGAAGAATGCTTCGCAATACAACTATGTAGTTGAGATTGCACCAAAATACATGATTACAAAATGGTTTGTTTCTGCAACATCATACCAAGAACTTAAATTTCGAAGCCTACCTGAAAATAATAGCACATGTCGTGATGTGTTCGAACCTCCACAAAGTACTGAATTCCCTAAAGTTTCAGTGTATTCGGGGCTGACACAATGCCATTTGCAAGGTTTAGTAGATAGCGTAAAGAGTATCAACGATCTAAAACAATCTCTAGTTGAATTGCAACACTTAAGTCAGGTTTTCAACGCGCAACTCTTCGCAGATCGTGATGAAGTGTCAAAATTACGCATGTGGATTGGTAAACCTTTTCCAAGTCATTCCAGATATCCACATAAGCTTGTACTCCTGTGTGCTTTGTATGGCAGACTTGCAAATGAACTCAATTTGCACATTCGTGATCTATGTGATGTTACAGCCCATGTATATACGCTCATTTTAGGAGCCCTTGAAAACGTTGATCGCAGTGAACTAACCAAATGGTCTCACAAATGGCTGAGAGTTACTGCCATACAGACCTTAGAGTCAAAAAATAAAGACCATTGGATATATGCTGCCGCTTCTTTTCCTTATCTCTTTGAAGTAAGTCGACTAATGGAACTTAGTAAAACATTGAATGGAGCAAAACTTCAAATGAATGCTTTGAAGTATATGCTTATTCCAAAGATCCAAGACGGATACAACAGGGATGAAGTGGATACCATCCTCCATAATCTTGTGAAAACTGCTAAAACAGCAAATCAAAAGACGGAACTTGAAGAGGCTGTCAGGAAGTTCATGAAATCTGTTGCTCCTCTTGTTGACATCGGTGAAAACCCTGAAAACACAAAACCTGTAGCGCCTCCAGTGCTAAGCGATGTAAACCCCGGAGCAGGAGCAGATGTCTTTAATGAGGAAATCCAAGCAAAAGTGGGAAAACACCAGATTAAAGAATCATCAGTAGAAGTGATCAAGACAGGTCCATTGTCGACACCTAGGAATGAAGATTCAAATGTGAGTATTAATTTCATGTGTACACCATCTTGCTTTTATCTACAATGACATTTATTTCCAAATGAGACGAGACAAGACTTAAATTTAGCAGTGTCAGTTAATAGCAATTTACAAGATCGATTTATACAATTTTGCTATCATTCAAAGATGCTCTTTGCAAAAATATGAATTTGTCTTTTTTACACTTGCTTATCACTGTTTTGACATTGAATGGAAATAGAGGGGGTTTGCCCTAGAAGCCCTTCATTTTAAGAGATTTGGCATGAAGCTGGCAGCACATTTTCCAGGGAAATGCCTGTTAATTAACAGAGAACCCATAAAATAATAGTAATTTTCCTGTAATTTAAACAGAAAATAGCAGTGTATCTACAGAATTTACATCATTTCCTGTATTATCACCTACTGTAATTATTCTGTAAAATGACATCCGTTTTTGTCTCACCTGAGCTGTGTTCAGAATGAGTCTCAGTAATCACTTTTTCTGTACGTCAGTCAGTCCGCCCGCCCGCAGTCGTGTCTCAAGATCCACAAGACCTAAATTAAATCGCGAATTTTACCCTTTTAATTCCTGTTTTTGTGATTGATGCAAGTCACTAGACGAGCAGCAAAACTAATTTTGACGTACACCAGTAAAAACCTTGGTTTTTTCCAAGGACTCAAGATGAATTTTCCGGAGAGCTTCGGATTGTTATCGGTTTTCAGTCCGAAAGTGCGATAAAATTTTAGTGCTTTTCGGAGCCTTTTCGAGATCCACATGGTCCCCCCGGCGGCGTGGCTTTCAATCCAGGTCATTGTCAGTTTAGAGCTTGACGGTGTCGGATGTGTTCGTTTAGAGAATTGAATCGGTAAGTATTCCATTTTCAAACATTTATTATGTCAGTTCTTATAAGTGTTAAGGTCATGATAATTTTAGTGATGTTAAATCGGTATGATTTTGTCCTGTTTGTGAGATTTTTAGTGCAGCTATGGTTATGCTTTTTATAATATAATTAGGCCTACTGTAGGCCGAACGTCGCTAGTCTTAATTTGAGGTTAGGTATACAGTAGTTCTAACCTAATATTAGGTATTCCATTAGCTTCTCTATCTAGGGTAGACATAGGCTTAGGTTGTGGCAACAGGCTCATCATAGATGCCATATTGTAATTTTGTGACAATAAATATTTTTTCCATGAATATACTTATGGAGGTAGGTGTATATTTTGATCTCCAAATATCTTACTAATAAATCAACATTTAATAAAATATCAAATAAAATAACAGTAATCGATAATTATATTGAATGTAGTAAAACTGCTTTTATGTGTGAATTTAGTAATATTCCACTTCAATCTCATGTTAATTTACACAATCATGTACAGGTACATAGACGCCATATTGTAGTAATTTTGTAGCGATAAATTTTTTTTCCATGATTATACTTAGGAAGTAGGTATACTGTATATTTTGATCTCTAAATATCTTACTAATAAATCAACATCTAATAAAATATCGAACAGGGGTGGCGGCAGGATTTGCCCAACAGGGGGGGGGGCATCGGCTCCGACGAGGGGTCAGATTTCCCTGACGAAACCTAAGTGGGCTTGGTCGAGCTTCGATTAAAAGCTTACGAAAGTGGTCCTGGGGGAAAAACCCCCGAAAAATTTGACAATTTAAGGGTTTCAAAGGCTTATTTAATTGATTTTAGAGTCCAATAATATGTAGAAAATACATACGAATACGAATACGAATTGTGCTTTTTCTCTTAGACGGGGGGCCAGCTCTCCCTGACGGGGGAGCCCCGGCCCCTCGCTGGCACCACCCCTGATATCAAATAAAATAATAGTAATCGATAATTATATTGAATATAATGTTAGTAAAACAGCTTTTATGTGTGAGTTTGGTATTCAGATATTGCGCTTCAATCTTATATGTTAATTTTATATAATCGTGTACTTTCGTTTGCAGATTGTTGGTTGCACATGTATATAGTTGTCAGTTTCATGTGTGTCCTGTAAAATTGATTTGGTATTAAATACTGTATTTTCAAACACTTGTGTCCATATTGCCTAATTAATGCTAGAAATGTTAATTATGGTCATAGTGATGTTTCTAGAGTGTGATTGTGTCCTGTTATGAGTACTTGAGGCTAGCTAGCCTATGGTTGGGCTTATAATTAATTAGGCTGAAGATTGCTCTATTTTATTTGAGGCTAGGCGTAACGTAATATTTGGAGGTACTGTAGGTGTGTATTGATATCCAAATTTCTTACTAATAAATCAACATCTAATAAAATATCTCATAGAATAATAGTAAATGATAATTATATTGAATATGTATAGTAAAACAGCTTTTGTGTGAGAAATTGGTAACAAATATTGTGCTTCAATCTTATTTTAATTTACACTATGTACTTTTGTTTGCAGGTTGTTGGTGGTTACACACAATCCAGGTCATTGTCAGTTTAGTTTAAATATTAAAATACATTGTTGATAAAGCATTTATTTAAATACTGAAAAGCATATTGTGGATAAAGCATTTATTTAAAAAATGAAAAGCATGGTAGATAAAGCATTATTTTATTTAGGATTTTAATGCTGAGAAGCATGATATCCATAAACCATGTTTTTTTAAACAGATTTAATTTCTGTGAGGCATGTTCTTCATTTAGCCACTTTTTTGAAACAGTTTTAATATTGAGAAAATATTAAAAATTTTAAATATTTTTTTGTTAAAACCTGATTTAAATACTGTGAAGGCTATTGTGGATAACACTTTTTTTACATTTAAATAAACTGCCTTGGGACTACACCACAAGCCTTTTCTTCCTTCAACTCTTTCTCTTCCTTATGTAATCGTTCTTGTTTTTCCAGTTCTGCCTTGTGTAATTGCTCTTGTTTTCCCTTGTTGCTCTTTATGCTGCCGATTGGATTTATCCATCTGCATTATCAGCTGCTGCAGTTGGATTCGGTGCATGTGCATCAGCCATAATTAAATATTGACGAGGGGCTTGTTACTAGTAAATCTTGGTTACCGATACGTTCACAAGTCTACTGCTCCAAATATAAAGATAGTGAATGTCCACTGTCTAAAAAAAATTACAGACTACTTACTGTAATTGAAGAAGATTCACACAGTTCGTTGAACAAAACGATATCCTTATTTACAGTAGAACATGACCACAGCTGCTACTATAATACGTTATGCAGTAGAACAACCACCGCTGTCACCATAATATTTCATGCAGTAGAACGACCGCCGCTGCCACCATAATATGTCATGCAGTAGAATGACTGCCGCTGCCACCATAATATGTCATGAATTCCTACTTGACGTATTTCCGAGCGGTATAGAAAAGACTAGGAATCCCTCTTTGACATATAAAATATAAACACAGCTCACAATGTTGTAAAACAACTCTCAAATAAACTTTTATTCTGTATAAACTCCAACAATCAGTCCAGTATCAAAATAACACAATAATATTCACATAAACATGTGTTTCAAAAAGAGCCCCAGAAAGATAAAACTGTCAGCTTATATACCCTAGCTGCACTATTCCAGAGCATTCAAGGGCATTCTATATTGCCTAAGTTCCTCATTGGTTACCTTACATCATAATTAACCAATTAGACTTATTTGTCTCTGTAGTACCCAAGATTCCATAAACTTCCATGTATTACTCTTGGATTCTACATGGTGTCATGTGTTCCTAAAATTACCAATGTGGTTTACACATTTTCTTTGATCAATTAAATGTTATTCTAGAATGTTCTATGTATTAAATATGTTAAAGTGAGAAAGGGAATGGTAATTTATTACAATTAGTATATTATTATGTTGTTTTGTAGCATTGTAAACAAATTTTTTAAACCCATTCTTATAAGTCACGAAATCATACCTTTAATACTAAAACTAAAATCAGTACAGCCTTTTATGTACTGAAGTATCTATTAATATTTACATGAATTGCATACTCGCAGCATTTTTCCTTAACTATTAGAAACTGCTAGTTTTAATATTAAAAAAGTTATTTAAATGATCACCGTTGGATTGCAGATAGTCCTGCATCATCTGATCTAGCTCTGCTATGCAGAAGGGGTTCGTTGATTAATAATGTAAGAATTAAAGTATCTAATTAACATAATTTATGCAAACAAATCATGAAAAATGATTACCTTAAATGCTTGAATAAGCGCCGCTCTCGAATATGCGCGCACCAAACATGATTTTTCTCGTTAAGCGTCCCTCTCAAATATTAAGTGCCGTGGTGCTTGATCAAGATTATAATATTACCTGTGTGTATTGAAACAGGTTTTAAAAACAGTGTATGTGTTAAAATGAATAAATAACACAATGAAGACAAGCATTTCTTCATAACCCTTTGTTTACGATGATAGGACTTATGATAGGCCTACAGAACTATGGGAATACCTGAAATAGGTAACATGGAAATGGGCATGGAAAGAGCCACGTCAACATTTTTTTATAACCACCGTTCTTGAATAAGTATCTTTCTCAAATAAGTGCCATACTGAAGCCTTCAAAACTTTTATAAGCGCCGTGGCACTTATTCAAGCTTTTATGGTAGTAAGGCTTGTGGACAAAATTATCTTTAGTTCAGTTGGAATGCAAAAAGGATGTATGTGTAGTGGAAATACAAAAACGCTGTATGTGTGATTGTAAAGTAAGAATGCAAGAAGGGTGTATGTGCATTGGGAATGAAAGCAGGATGTACAGTGACAAGGCAAGAAGAATGTATGTGCAGTGGGGATATGGAAGAAGGATGATGCAATGCAAGAAGGATGTAAGTGTAGTGGAAATGCAAGAAGGGTGTATGTGCCGTGGGGAAATGCAAGAAGGGTGTACATGCAGTGACAAGGCAAGAAAGGTGTATGGGCAGTATGAATGCAAGAGGGATGAATGTGTAGTGGGAATGCAAGAATTATGTATGTGCAGTGTGGAAATGCAAGAAGAGTGTAGGTGTAGTGGGAATGCAAGAATTTTGTAAGTGCAGTGGTGAAATGCAACAGGAGTGTATGTGTGTAGTAGGAAAGCAAGAATCTTATGTATGTGCAGTGGCAATGCAAGAAGGATGTATGTGTAGTTCGAAAGTGTAGCAGGTCATTTCTGCCCAAAACCAAATTGGCCCAAACCAACTCGGAACAAAACCAACTCGGTCCCAGACAACACTTCGGCCCAAAACCAACTTGGTCCTAAACCAATTTGGACCAAAACCAGCTTGGCCCAGAAGATCGCAATTACCCATTACCCAAATGACAATTATTATTATTATTTTAGTATAATTATAATTAATAACATTATTTATAGGTCTAATATTATTTTTTATTATAACTATTATTATTTAGTTTTATATTATTTTAATTATATAATTTATAATTATTATATTATATTTATTATTATTTTAGTATTATTAGTTCCTATGCATGTAATGCAATAGGAACTATTGTAATCACTCTGTCACATTTCTTTTGTTTTTTATTGTGTGTAGTATGTGTGTGCGTATGTGTGTAGACATTTATGCAAATGCGCATGCGTCAAAGAAAAGTTTTCCGACATTTTGTTTTACATCGCGATGCGAAGTTCGATGTGGATTTTCTGCAGAGTTCAGTCAGGGCTCACGCTAACCGGTCGGCGTGCATGAAACTATTTTGGTTTTACGCCAAAAAAATCAACTGCCGTCTCATAGGTATTTTGAAGAAGGCCTAAAATAAAACAAAAAGGTTTTAATACTTGCTGAAATACATCGTTTTTTCATTTAGATCTGCATTTTTCACTAACTCCATACGACGTTTATTTCTGTCGTATGAGTAGTCCATAGAGCTATTAAACAAC